ACCAATTTCACATTTCAGGGGAAGTTTTTATGCCTAAAACTAACTAACTAACTAACTAACTGACTGACTGACTGACTGACTGACTATTTATTTATTTATTTATTTATTGCACTGGGTTTGATTGCTGTAGAATTTTTTTTTTAATTATAGACATTTTGGAAAAAAACTGTTTGAAAAGTAGGTCCTGCATAACTGAAACAAATACATGTTTTAACTTTTTTATTATTTTGATTTTGATCCTTGGACCATTCCAGATAGCTCAAGTTATGGTGTTTCTTTTCGGTTTTCATTCCAGAACTACTTTCAATTTCTTTATTAGTAAATGTAAAATCAGTTCCAGCTGGAAAAGCTGATAAGACCTGAGAAAGAAGGATGAACCTACATATGTTCTTTCACTCCATATCATGTACAGAAGGGTGTCCTGAAGGGATGGTCAAAAAAGTCAAGATGGTGGTCAAAAAAGTCAAGATGGTGACCCCAATGGTGTGATTGAAACTCTACCCATTTTTACGTGCAAGGCATTCTAGATAAAAATGGGTGGAGCTTTTACTGGACCATCATGGCCGCCATCTTGATTTTTTTTACCCTTCCCTGCAGATATGTCTACATGTACACAAGATGAACCAGGAAGCAACAGGCAATCACAGATTCTCACTGCAAATCTTCCCACATAGTACTACAAAACTGATTCTCCAAATGGGGATCTTTATGGAGCCAAAAAGAGAGGAATTTCTGCACAAGAAGGAAGTTTGAGAAAGCAGCAATCTTCCTAAAAACCAAAGTGGGGCTCTCCCTCAAAACAGCTCAGTGAAACGAACTGCCTGACCGAACTAACTGCCTGACCATGAGGAACGAAAAGCAAATGGCATTTGCTTTAAAAGGCATCAGGAACATTCTATGCTGTGATATTTTGTTGCTGGTCTTATAGATTTAATAATAGGAACACAGTAAAAATGAAGACAAGCTTTCCTCCTTTTCCTTGCTCAGAAAGGCTGTCTGGGTCAGGCAAGTTGGACATGCAAAGCTTCAAAGGGAGCCACTGGCTCAGAATCCAAGCGAGCAGAGGGACGGTTGTCTCTGGAGAGCGCAAAGATGGATAGTTCCGCTTGGTGCCCTCTCTGGATCGAGAAGCAAGGAGGCAGATGGTGATCGATTTATAAGAGGCTTAAAGGTAGATAAAAGATCAATAGAGGGAAGGAATTAAGCCCCAGGTCATACGGGGATAGAATATTTATATGCATGGATAGATCCCACACAGCACTTCCTTCAAAAGTTTACAAACGAGGTGTATGTGTGTGTGTGTGTGTGTGTGTGTGAGAGAGAGAGAGAGAGGGATATAACCATGATTTTGTCTTATTGTAAAGAGAAGACCTTATGCTCCAGTTTAAAATGAAAGAATAGTTCCACAAATATGAAATAAATCAGACAATAAATTGCATTAAAGCAAAACTAAGCCAACCCCCCCCCGCCGCCCCACCACATGAGGGCTCTTGTCACACAGCCATAAATCTTTGCAGGCCAAGCCCCCAACCGCCCAAATCAGCAGGTAACCCTGCCGGTTTCCAGCTGGCCTGGAGCAACCGCTAACCCCAGACCTTGGAATAGGACCTCTGCGTTTCAGCCGTGCCCAGATTCAGAAACAAGAAGGACCAGCCGCTCAGGCAGGCTTCTGGTCCTGCAGCCCCGCGACACCGCCTTTCCCCTCGCCCTTGCGCCGGAGATGCCCCAGATCCAACCTGGTCCCTTGCGCGCGCAGTTCGCAAAGCGGGGTTTGGGCCTCCAAAGCGGAGCCGGGAGACCAGCTGAGCAGCTCCCGGTTGGGCTGGACTTTGAGCGGACCACGAAGGAGCTGAAGAAGGGGGCAGCCCTCGCCCCGGCCACCGACGCCCCGTTCCCACTCTCCTGCCTGGGGGCGGAGGGGGGCCGCTCACCCGGGGGACAGCGAGGTTTCTCCCCTCGGCCGCAACGGTTTCCCCCTTACCT